GCCCCCCTTAACACAGAATTGTCAATATTTTGAGTTAGAGCTGGTAGAAGTTTCTATAATTTTGATATTATTTGTATCAATAGTAGTACACTACACTGTAAAAATCTTTTTGAGATAGAGCAGGTGCGATTTTTTTAATTTGAATTTTATTTCTAAAAGAAATGCACTACGAAATAACTGTGTTCTCGGGCCTTATGTGAAATTATAGTACATTCTTAGGTTAAAGTTTTAAGTTAAGGTACATAGCTTTTTTTGCAGGATCTCAACATTGACGACTTCAAGTCTAAACTTCCTGATTGCACCTGTGCTAGTTCCCAATTCACATATAATCCGGCTGGCCACGTTATTACCGGAGACCTCAACATTGTCAATAACACTTTCCTGCGAAATTTGTTATCCAAAGGTCCGAAATATCGTGAGCCTAAATCCATTAATTTGGAAATACAACTTCAAAATACTGATGGATTCAGTCGAGGATTATGCCAGGCAATGGGCTAAACGCGAGAAAGAAGACGTAGATACTCTTTCCGAATGGATTAAGGCTGTGAGGTCGTTGATACAAATCCTAATTAAGAAACAAAATGCGCATATCAATACCCACGCTACGTCAATTTTTAAAGACCAAAATGTTGCAAAACACTTGTCCTACCTCCATGACAAATATGTTGTTGTCCCCGCAGATAAAGCCCCAAACAACATCGTTTTTGTGTGTAAATATCATTACATAGACTGCTTGATAAAGGAATTAGGTATTGACAATTCACTTGGAAACTCAACATATACCCTCACGACACTTACCAAAGAGGAAATCCTGGATAATCATAGGTCTGTTCTGTGTTCCTTTGGAATTTCAACCAAAGATGAAGAACTGGATCTTCCATCACTGTATTGGATACCTAAACTACACAAGTGTCCTTACAAACAACGGTATATTGCTGGGTCTTCCAAGTGCTCCACGAAACCTCTTTCTAAATTATTAACATCTACTTTATCAGCAATCAAAGCCGGGCTCCAAAGTTATTGTGAAATAATACTGCCTATTCTAGAGGTGGCGTGAATCAGATGTGGATACTAAAAAATTCCAAAGATCTTTTAGAGACATACAATCTAAGACTCTCTCATCTTGCAATAGTATTAAAACATTTGACTTTTCTACACTTTACACAAGTATTCCCCATTCCAAACTAAAAGACAAATTGAAAGAGTTGGTATTAATTTGTTTCATTAAAAAGAATGGCGAACGTAGATACAAGTATCTTGTCTTGGGGAGGGATAAATCCTACTTTGTAAAGAATCACTCTGATTCAAACAAAAAATTCTCTGAAACTGACATTATCAAGATGCTTGATTTCTTGATTGACAACATATTTGTTACGTTTGGATGACGTGTTGTTCAACAAACTGTCGGAATTCCAATGGGAACCAATTGTGACCCTCTTCTGGCCGACTTGTTTCTTTATTATTATGAGGCTGACTTCATACAGGAACTTCTTAGGAAGAAAGATAAGAAGTTAGCAATATCTTTTAACTCTACGTTCCGCTATATAGATGATGTTCTCTTACTAAATAATACAAAATTTGGTAACTATGTTGAACGAATCTATCCCATCGAACTGGAGATAAAGGATACTACAGATACAGTTAAGTCTGCCTCATATCTTGACTTACATCTAGAAATTGACAATGAGGGTCGGTTGAAAACAAAACTTTACGACAAAAGACATGATTTCAGCTTCCCAATTGTGAACTTTCCATTTCTATGTAGCAACATTCCAGCAGCGCCTGCATACGGAGTATATATCTCCCAATTGATACCATATTCCCGGGCTTGTGTTTCCTATCATGATTTCCTTAATAGAGGATTGCTGCTCACAAGGAAGATATTAAAACAAGAGTTCCAAATGGTGAAGTTGAAGTCATCACTTCGTAAATTTTACGGACGCCATCACGAGTTGGTTGACCGTTACGTTTCACAGATCATATCGGATATGTTCCTTATGTCTTAACTACAATACCCTCCTTTTTCACGAATGTGACTTACCGAATTAGACTATTTACCGGATTTGTAATAACATAAGCAACACGACGGGTGCCACATGTGGAGCAGGATCTGCTTACCCTTCCGGAGCACCTGAGATCACCCCCAGTTTTTGGTTGTGGTTCGTGTTGCTTAGTCTTTGGTTTTCTATGTTGTGTCATCTGTACTATTATTTGTCTGTTTGTCTTTTTATTTTTGGCCATGGCGTTGTCAGTTTGTTTTCGATCTATGAGTTTGACTGTCCCTCTGGTATCTTTCGTCCCTCTTTTACCATGAAGTTGAATTTCATACACATGTTCATTATGTGGTGAACTTTTAAATTCATTGCCAAACTAAGATTTTGAGCCTGATTACATGATTGACTAGACATTGACACATGCTAGTGTTTGCCAGGCATGGTGTCCTGTACTAGGAATTTGTCCTGTACTAAGAACTGTAATAGTACAAGCTGAGTATGGAGTTTTTGTGAAAGTTTAATATAAGTGGGATTTTTGCATGACATCCTGTCAACTGCTTGTTGATCATGTTTATACATGTCTTAAAATGAATATCTGACATATTGGTGTTTTGTGAACTTGGAAATAAGTTATTTGATAAAATGATAACGTTATGAGATTATCAAAATAAAAAATATCCCCTTTTTTACTATTAATTAATAATTAAGTATTAAAAAAAGAAGATTTAGGATATATGTATAACCATATATAAAAACGAGACAGCAACCGAACAACACAAAAATAAGAAAAAAAACAATATAATTTTTTGTATCAATGTTATAATTTTAAACATGTCCAAAGAGTTCAAGGTAATTTCTCATTGAAATAAAAAACAAGTTGAACTCTTTCAGAACTTCAGAAGCTTAAAGAAGTGCTGTTTCTATTGTTGGCGTTTTGTATAATATTTTGCAAATTCTTGTAAAAAATGGAATGTTATTGTAATTGCCTAAAGTTTTAACATTGATCTATATATATATATATATATATATATATATATATATAACTGGGGAAAATACCCAAATGTTACAAAGAAGAATACATAAATTGATTGTTATATAATATTAGAATAGGAAGATGTGGTATATTGCTAATTTGACAACTCTCCATCAGAGACCAAAGGATGTATGAGGTTAACAACTGATGACACTGGACAACCTTCAACAATCAGTAAAATCCATACTGCATAGCTTTTTTTATTCAAAATCATATGTTATTGCTACATGTATGCAAACAGTTTTTTATTATCCATAACTTCGGATTTTATTGGTTCTTTTTCTTCAGGATTGAAATTCATCACTTAGAATAAAAGGAGAAAACACAGAAACAAGACCAGAATAAATTCAAAGACAAAAGTCAGATCAGTTATTATTTTCATCACTCAGTCAATGAATTGAAGTTCTATTAAATACCTAAAGATATTAAAACCACAATAATGACAATGTTCTGTGTTGAATGGCCAAAAAGTGGACTAACATTAATATCACACAATGCTGGATGATAAGAAACTATTAATTTTTTGGGTGGAGGGATATCCTGAAAAAAAAATAGATTTATGTAAAAAGCTACTAGTATGTTAAGCCTAATAATAGAGTTTTCATTGATTTCAAATGGGAAATAATTGTGTTTCAAAAAAGTATTCTAGAATTCATAAATAAACATATATACTTACATTATCTGCTTTGTTGTTTAAAAGTTTAGTTTTCAACAGTTATCGAACAATATAATTGCATTAAAGGAAAAAAAGTTATTCAACTAAAAAGATTCATCTTAAAACAATTTACTACCAAACAGAATTCATAACTGTATATTTATAATTTGAGTCCCATTGAATTTAAATATCCCATGGGATAATTATAGTCCCATTGGATATTGTTTGTTCCATGGAACAAAAAATATCCCATGGGACTACAATTATCCCAATGGGACCCAAAAAAATCCTATGGGATTTAACCAAAATTCCATGGGATAATGGTCAATCCCATGGGATATTACCAATCTCATGTTTTTCTAAATCAAACTGCAAAATATATATAATAATAACATCAGAAAAGCAATCAATAATTGAATCCCATGTAATTCCGCACATTTTGGTTGTATACACGACATTGTAGCTCTAAGGAGAGGCGGCGGCGGATTTGCAAATGAGAGTTTTGCAAATTAAAAGTGTCCAGTGTTCATTAATTTTTTTTTTCATCAATTAAAAAACACGTATTTTTAACATTTCACTGAATGTCCCTGTAAAGTTTCTCTCTTGTCACACATGATATACACACGTTTATTACACAAAACATGTACAAAACAAATGTGTTAATATTGTCTTTGATCTGAATACGGAACCGTACATTACATGAAAATCATTTAAGTTAGATTGATAGTAAACAAAAAAACATTAATAGAAGTTATTTTGAATGACTAAATACACAAACAGATCCGAGTCCGAATACACTCATTGTCTGAAAGAATTATTAATGCTTATTTATGTTGCTTTTCTTTCACGTCAAAAAGAAAAGCCTTTCCGTCAGACCTATTACAAACAAGCAGAATATTTTCTTCTTTGTGAAAATAAATTCCCCACGGCTCATCCAATCCATCTGATTTTGTAAGAAGTTCTCTATGATGTTTCCCGTCATCTGATACACCTACTACAGTGTTGGTCCTCCAATCCGTCACATACACATTCCCCTCATCATCTGTTGTCACACAAGTTAAATCTTGAAATTTATACTTATCAAACTTCCAATTTAGTCTACCATCTAACGAGCAGCAGTATATTATTCTCTTGTCTGTACAGACTAACCTGTCTCTGTATACTTTAATGTCGTTGATATAGTCTGAAGGTAAAGGTATAGTACGTATTACTTTACCTGTCAGGTCCATCACATGTATTATTCTGTTACCAATAACAACGTACAGGTTATTATCATTATATGATATTCCCCAGCAGTTACCACTGGTTTTGATTGTACTGGTGACAGAACCTGTAGGTATATTTATTATCAGTATGGTTCTGTCAAATATACAGGATACTGCTACAGTATAACTATCTATCTGTGTCATATAAAATGGTCTATAGAACAGAGAAATGTGATCGATATCAGTACCGTCAGAATTACAAATAATAAGTCTGATTTGACTAAAGTCGACAAACACTAATGTATTGCCTGTTTTGATACAGCTATTAATGTTCAGATCTTCATCCTTTGGCTTTATGATATTTAACTGTTTACGCAAATTGACAGAAACAGGAAGGTTTGTTTTGACAGATTCTTGATTCCGAGTAAATTCTTCTTCTTTGTTTGGTTCATTTTCTGAAATAAATAATCAAGTATTCATTTGGTTATTTCAACAATCGATTACCTTATTCATAATGCAGTTTACAAAAATTTACCACTAAAAGGGATTAAATGATGTAAAAAAAAAAATTTTACATACTATATTATGTATTATTGATTATTTCACGACCTCAAATTTTCTCTCCGATGTTAACGATTTATTTGAATAATTGTCAATTTGAACTCGTATATTTCAAGGAAAATCGCAAAAAAGTGAAAAGTGTAATATGACAGAGATTGAAAAACAGATATGTGTAGAGCATAGTCATGTTCTGGATATACTAATGTAGTGGAGTAATATATTTGTTTGACTTCCTTTAACCGAATCACGGAAAAGGTTGGGGGGGGGGTTTCTATATGAAGGCTTTACACAGACGTTTCGCTAGGACAGGTGCCTTGTTGATATATCACATATATCAGTGGGGTTGCAATTCCACCAAGGTAAAATGTAAATGAGTCGGTAAATTTTATCTTTCGATTAAATATATGTGTTTCCGCTTTTAAATCAAATTAAGATATATAAAAAAATTTACCGATAACTAAGAAATATTTGAACGGGTTATAAATTTGTCATACAATTCATGGGTTGTGATTTTCACAACACTTCAATATACGAATAATCCCTAAGGGTGACTGGGGAATAGAAATATTGTCACTACATGTCTTCTTCCGAACAGCATTGAAACCCTTGCCAAAGTGGGGCGTCTGGTTGGCTGTACGGGATGTATCAAGTACGCAGCCACGTCCGATCAGAATTGGGACGTTAATCCGATGCCTCGTGTAGTGAGAATGTAATGTTCTCTGCACGTTAAGAACCCTTGCAAGAAATGTTCGAGGTGTCCGTAGGTGACATGTTGCAAGGTTAAATTTCTGTCCCTATCCAATATACCCTCATTTTCTCTTAGCAGTCGTACCCCAAGGGTGATTGGGGAATAGAAGTATGGTCACCATTGGTCTTCCTCCGACCGGCAGTAAAACCCGTGCTAAAGTGGGGCGTCCGTTTGGCTGTGCGGGATGTACAAATTTGCAGCCACGTCCGGTCAGAATGGGGACGTTAAATCCGATGCCTCGTGTAAAGAGAGTGCCACGCTCTTTGCACGTTAAGAACCCTTGCAACAACTCTTTGAGGGGTCCGTAGGTGACCTGTTGCAAGGCTAAATTTCTGTCCCTATCCAATATACCCTCATTTCCCGAGGCAGTCTAAATTTCTCCGACCTTAATCCCTTAATCTATTACAGAACCTACCTATTGTATTTATTGTGAACTTGTTCTCGTCCTGAATATGCATGAAATATTTGCCACTGGACGTTAAGCAACCAACAATCAATCAATCAATCTTAGCAGTCGAAATTTTCCCGACCTGCAACCCAGTTGACCTATATTAACGGATCTACCTATTGTACTAATTGTTAATTTGTTTCCGTCCTGAACATGTATGAAATATTTGCCACTGAACGTTTAGCAACCAACAATCAATATATGAGTAAGGGGATAAATACCTGATGCGCAACCCACAATCCCATGTTGAGACCCTTGGTCCTTACTACCTTAAACTTTATGGCAGATATTGTTTTTGTAAAGAAAACAAACATCCGAATTTAATGGGTCAAAATGAATAAAGTAGAAACACATCTACGATGTTTGCTTGTAGAATGGTTTTTACTAAAGGCATATTAAATTGTCTCACTTTACAGTACTTTATTTGTTCTCGTCTTGAAAATGAATGAAGTATTTACCATTGGACGTAGGCAAACAACAATTAATCAATTAAACTTTTATGACCTTACCATGTCTCTGCTGATTGTGGTGGCCGATGTTCAGTTTCATTAAAAAATAGTCTGTGTACGAAACAATGTTTTTTTTTTTTAATAATAAAGGGAAATGAATTTTATAATTAAGCACATCTTAGTACATGATGTCTTTCGGTTACAAAAATATCTGATATGTCGCAATTTTAGCAAGGGAGCCCCTTACCACGGTAGATAAATCGGTCCAAATTTCATTGTTAACGGGCTTAGGGAGTCCTCTCCTAACAACGAAAGAGAAATTGGTACAACTCTTTTCGTTTAAGGGCTAACGTTTCACCTCAAGGGGCTTCACGTTGTTCTGTTGGATGTATGAATACGCGTCCACGTCATATCGGAATGGGGCGTTGAATATGAAATAGGGGAATGAAACGCTTTCTATAGCTTTACAATACAACGTTTATTGATTTCTCTATTTGAAGCAGAATTGTTGACACTATGTAACATGTCTTCGTTTTGGGGGCTGTAAAAATCCAAAATACCCCGTCCAAGACATTTAATTTGTTCATACATTGTGTTCTTTGTGGTCTATTTATTTAAATCAATCTCGTTTTCGCCGACTGTTATATTATTTGGTAACTCGTAGATGAAATGCAATATCACTGATATGAACTAAACCCAAAGGATGACTGGGGTATAACAAATACTGCTCCTCGTCCGGTAGTAACGCCCTTTCCATAGTTGGACATCCTTTTGTCTATGTAGGATGGTTAACTACGCAAGCCCGTCCAGTCGGAATGGGGACGTTCAATCCGATGTAATGTTCTCTGCTCGTTAAAGAACCATTGGAACACCTCTTTGGGGGATCGAGAGGTGGCATGTTACAAGGTTATATTCCGACCCCTATCCAGCATACCCTCATTTCCATTGACAGTCCAAGTTCCCGTCCTTCATCCCGGGAGGCCTTATTTACAGAACATACTTATTGCATTAATTGTTAATAGTGTATCTTACTGAATTTGCATGAAATAATTGCAACTGAACGTTAAGCAAGTAAAACTAGCAAAATCAATCAGATTTATTATACATTTCCCTAACTTCTGTTGTAATGCATAATGCCTTTCCCTACCATATATGCGGTTTTTTTTTCTTACTTTTTGAGTCCAAATACCAAAGGGACATTCAAAGTCATAAGTCGAACATAAACTGACATTGCCATGGCCAAAAAAGAAAAAGCCCAACAGAAAAATAATAGTACACAAAACAAAACATAGAAAACTAGACTTGGCAACACGAACCCCAATCAGGGGTTGTTCTCAGGTGCTCCTGAAGGGTAAGCAGATCCTGTGTGACACCCTTCGTGTTGCTTATGTTAGTACAAACCGGGTAGTCTAATTCGGTAGGTCACATTCGAGAAAAGGGGACGGGATTGTAGTAACGACATTAGGAACAGCTATCATCTGTGAAATTGATATTCCGTAACGGTCAACCAACTCGTGATGGCGTCCGTTAAATTTACGAAAGGATGATTTCAACTTCACCACTTTCAACTCTTGGTTTAATAGCTTCCTTGTGAGCAGCAACCCTATATCAAGGAAATCATGATAGGATATACAGGACATATGAATCATTCATATATGTGACCCACCAAGACATTCCAAGGGTTATGTAGGAAAACGGCATTTCAAGAAAAATGTCGTCAACTATATTAACTTCAATTTTCTATTGGTATAAGAGTTTATTTCTAAACTAAATTTAGAGAAAAATGAAGAAAAAAAAGATGTCTTCTGAATGCAAATGAGACAACTCTCTTTCAAAATCCAGATGACGTAGAGCCCCCAAGGGTGACTGGGGGATAGACGTATGGTCACCATTGGTCTTCCTCCCACCGGCAGTAGAATCCTCGCCAAAGTGGGGCGTCCGTTTGGCTGTGCGGGATGTTCACATTTGCAGCTATGTCGGTCACAATAGGGACATTAAATCCGATGCCGCGTGTAAAAACAGTGCCACGCTCTTTGCACGTTAATAACCCTTGCAACAACTCTTTGAGGGGTCCGTAGGTGACCTGTTGCAAGGCTAAATGTCTGTCCCTATCCAATATACCCGCATTTCCCGTGGCAGTCTAAATTTTTCCGACCTTCATCCCGGACGCCTTTATTACAGAACCTACCTAGTGTATTTATTGTTAATATGCATGAAAAATTTGCCACTGGACGTTAAGCAACCAACAATCAATCAATCAAATGACATAGAAATAAACAGCTATTTGTCACCGTACTGCTTTCAACAGGGGATAAAACCCGTACGACATCTGAGAATCTTATAACAAAGATCATCTTAAGTGCAGTTTAGCTGTACGGAATGTACAAAGTACACAGCCACGTTCAGTCAGAATAGAAACGTTTAATCCAATGCCTCGTGTAGAAACTGCTACGCTCTCTACATGTTAAGAACCCTTGCAATAACTCTTTGAGGGGTGCTTAGGTGGCCTGTTGCAAAGTTAAATTTCTTTCCCTCAGTAATAAACCCTCATTTCACAGTGTCAGTCTAAATTTACCCGACCTTTATCCCACAAGGCTTTCATTACAGGACCTTTCTATTGTAAAATTGTTTTCGTCCTGAACTTACATGAAATATTTGTCTATGAACGTTAAGCAACTAATTAACAATCAATCAACTTTGCCCGAGTGAGTTGGATCCTTAGTTTCTTAAAAAAATCATAATTGATCAAGGTGGAATTGAAACATTGCGACTGAGCTCGGGGATTAAACAGATCACCCTGCAGCACTGGTATCAATCCAGTGCAAGTAAATGAAAATTACACATCACAAATTTCTAGTGTCGGAAGTGTTTTTTCTTGATTTTTATTCATCAGGAACTCTCAAACTGTAACATTGAGTTTAATTTTGGCTTTACTTTTGATTCTTCTTCGTTTTATCAACCCTTCAACATTTTATTTAAATGTTATTGATATCCTGGGATGTAAAAATATGTTGAAACGTTAGGGGATTTATCACCAAAAGACCCATAAAAAGACCAAATTCATCTACATCTACATCTGTAATTTCATCTTTGCTTGAGGTAGTGAGAAAATTATTTTGTTAGTAATTTCTGAATTCATCAGAAATCAGAAACGTTTATATATATATATATATATCCCTTTATTCACATCATCTGTATTATTTCAACCGGTTCACTGTTCTTTAATATAACGGAGAATGTTAAGATTGATCGAGTGGTGGTTGCTTAACGTCCAGTGGCAAATATTTCATAAATGTTCAGGACGAGAACAACATAACAATAAATACAATAGGTAGGTCCTGTAATAGAGGCCGTCCGGGATGAAGGTCGGGGAAATGTAGACTACCACTGGAAAATGAGGATTAATTGGATTGGGACAGACAATTTGTCTTGTAAGAAGCCACCTACAGACTCCTCAGACTCAGAGAGTCGTTACAAGTGTTCGTAACGTGCACATATCGTGGCACTCTCTTTACACGATGCATCTCATTTAGCGTGACTTGGATGCGTACTTTTACATCCCGCACAGGACGCCCCATTTTGGCAAGGGTTGTAGAGCCAGTCGGGAGAAGACTTAGAGTGCCCATATTTCTATTCCCTGTTACCTTGGGGATGAGATTGTATGATAAGGCCACGTTTCCACCTTCAATTCCTACTTATAAGAGTCTTCAAATATTCATTGGACATCAGTTTTTGTTTTTGGAAAATGTGTCTTCTATATTGGCATTATGAGTATAAACTTTTTACACCTGTTGAAAAACTGCAAAAACTTTTAAAGATACCCTCGTCTTCAACTTTTCGTTAATATATTGATATGTAAAACAGCAGAACGACATGCTACTACTAATTGTATTTTACAAAGATGTTATATTTAAGTAAAGCTGTTGTTCATATAAATAAATATATATTGACAAAAAATTATGTGTGAAATGAGCAGATCAGGTCAAATATGTTAATTTCGACATGTTTATAATATCATAGTGACACCACAAGTTAATGATCAAATTGAATCAACGTGTTCATTTGTTACTAAAAATGACCTGATTGTGATAAGTTTACAATGTTTGCCATTCAGGGGCCAAATAATGCCTCTAATCGAACCTCCTTTTTTGTTGTAATATTCCTGTATAAATTGTCTCCTTACTTTAAGTCATGATCACCCTTTTAACCTGAGAGAGGAGGTAACATCCATGTTAAAGGAAAGCTATATTTAGGAATAAAACATTAATTCGTAAAACTTTTAAAAACATATGTTAAATAAGGTTTTATTCATCTGAATAAAGAAACGTCTCCTTCTGTGTTGTTCCCTTGGTATAAAGAGGAATATTCCAAGGACAGCACAGAAGAGTTATATCGCCATTACTGTATGTTCTAGAAAAATGAAAATGGTTTAAGATAAAGATACGAAGAAAAATATGTAAACAATGATATTACTTGGATTGTGGTAATCCTGCTTAGTGCCTATGTTTGCTCTGACAGGAATCCTTTTAACCTGAAAACGAAAAAATTGAATAAAAAACAACATAATTACAATGTAGATAACCCTTTCATAATCTTCTATTGAACATAAACATGATAAAATAAGTATGATAATTGTAGAACGAAGCCAATTAGGAAAGACACTCCGTAAATTTTTTGGACACGATCGCGAATTGGTTGATCTATACGGTGTGTCTAAACTAACTAACAACATTTTTTACCACGTCTTAGATTTTGGTTTACCATCTACGTCGTCTGGTCTGTTAAGTACCGAACGTGAGCTATTCCCGAATATGACTGTTTTGCCGAGTGTAATTCACATTGCTAGACGACGTGTCTCGGTATTTATACATCCAACATTCATGTATTTAGTTATGATGTTTCTTTTTTAATTATCGTTGGATATTGTGTTTATTATTATCGATTGTGGTTTGAATTCTGTAATTTCGGTACATTTCTCATGTGTCAGTATATTTGAGTTATTCGTGATTCGTCTTCAGTGTTTTTTGTTTTATGTTTGTTTTCAATTGTGTTTACTGTTTACTGTTTGGTCTTACATGATTAAAGTTATTTTTTTTTATATTCTTTATATTTCCTTCATATGATTTTAAGTTTAAAAAATGAAAACAACACGTTATAAATGTCATGCGTCCGACGCTCTTTTCTGGATCTACCTTCATCAAGAACGCTCAAAGCCGAATATTAGAAAGTTAAGGATGAATAATACCGAAACAGTTGAAGAGCAGTAAAAAAATACCGCTAACGTTAACGTTCTTATAATCACTGGATCTATACTTCTGCTGGTAGACTTTTCGTCCCCGAGGGTATCATTTGCCCAGTACTGGCATCATCCTGATGATGCTTTTACATAATTTCGAAATCATTTCAAATTAAGGAATGTACTATCCTTATGTATAGATCCTTGTCCCAGTTTAGCTGTACATTTGAGCCTTTTTTGGTTGTATCAGCTGTTAAACGTTTGTATTCTGTTTTTGATTCTAAAATATATATTTGTCTCGAGCATCATTGATTTTAGCTTTAGGTTAAGTTTTATAAGCTCTTCAACGTTTGTATAATGTTTTGAATTTTTGGCCTCGAGCATTACAGAGGAGACGTTAATTGTCGAAATGCGCATATGGTGTGGTAAAATTGGTAGTATAATGTGAACGTTCCTAATACGTCACAGTTGACTTATTGTATATTATATACTGTCCAAGATTTGTAGGAAAAAAGTCGCGAACATAACACGCATGTAGACTAATTCCCATCATTCCTTAACGAGATTACTATAGTTTAAGTTTCTGTGTATTTTTATAACAACACAAAACATTAAATTTCTTAACTGTTGTCAAAGGGAGGCGAAAAATACCTGAAGGATAATCAAACTCATGCAAAGTCGAAAAGAAGCTGACAATGCCATGGCAAAAAACGACCATAAAGTAAACAGTACACCAGACACAACATAAAAAGAAATATGGACGGATTAATACAAACCCAAAAGAAAAACTGAAGTTGATATCATGTGCTCAAGAAGGATAAGATGTAAAAATAAAAAATCCGAATTGGGGCACCGTTTGTAATAACCGTATTTTTAAATCATTGGACGCTAATCAGCAGATCAATAACTTGAATATATACTCTCATAATCATTGGATACTCCAATCAATAGACCGTAAATGCTTAACATGCATTGTCATCAACAATAACATGAAAAAATATAGAATAAGATATTTTTTGCCCCTTACGACCAATGTAGGTAAAATGTACTAGATGTTCCGATAGATTGTTAACAGTGTCTCGGCAACCATACAGACTTTTGTAATCACATGAGAGGATTCACGTTATATTGGTAAGATTTTCTTACTTAAAGTGAATTATCAACTTGTTAAATGATTCTAAATGTGTCCTAAATAATGTTTGAATATGATGTTTGCATTAAACGCAAGTAGCGGTCTCTAAAATCTGCACAGTAGTATGGAAACTATATCAACTGTGAAAATTGACGATGAGCACGGAAACGACATACACATATAAATATTTACTTCCAGAGCATCTGCGATCACCCCCGGATTTTGGTTGGGTTTGTGTTGCTCTGTTTTTTAGATGTCTATGTTGTGTTTTGTATACTGTTTATCTTTTGGTTGTTTCTCGTTTTTTGCCATGGCTTTGTCGATAAATATTAGAAGATGTGATATGAGTGCCAAGGATACAACTCTCCATCCAAGTCACAAATTGAAAAAGTAAACTATTATAGGTCAAAGTACGGCCTTCAACACGGAGCCTTAGTTCACACCGGACAGCAAGCTATAAAGGGCCCCAAAAATGACTAGTGTAAAACCATTCATACAGAAAAACCATTGTCTAATCTATATAAAAAACGAGAAACACTTATTAACAACCACTGAACATCAGGTTTCTGACTAAGGACAGGTGCAAACAAATGCAGCGGGTTTAAACGTTTTATTTGGCGCCAACCTTCAGCCTACCTGAAACAATAGTGTAACATTACGACATAGAAAGACACACTCTGAAATATCAATTGAAATGGCTTAACTCATATCAAAATACATATTAAAAAAACACTAACCGAATAAATTTAATATATGACACAATGTAAATATAAAGTTGATAATACAAGGGGGTTAGATGTAAAACAATATCACAAAGACAACCATAACTTTGTCAGTATGTCATTGACATGTAAGTTTGCAAATCCTTTTTTTATATTCATACTTTCATTTGAGCATATGAAAGCTTCACACTTTACAAAATGTTTGCGTAAAGTGAGGATGTTGTGCAAATTTAGGAAAATAAACGGTATTTGTATCAAGTTGCGTGCAAAACCCTATTAAACGATGGATCAAAATACATTGATTTTAATGCATTGTTCGTAGTATGATAAGTTATACCATTTAACGTCCAGCAAAAAGTGTTACACATACATGGTAATAGAGAAATACATTTAAAATCAGGTAACATGGAGTTCATTAGGCCACCATTGTTACCATCTTTTTTACATTCTTGCATTCACTGCAAAGTCACCTGATCCAAAATGACTAATGTGTATGAATTTTGTGTTATCATTCTACAAAGTATGAACTTTGTCTCAAAACATCATACTGATACTTAATATTCTAAATTATTCATAATACATTTTCAATTTGTCTTAATAGATTCTTACCTTTCAGTTTTTGTGTCAACATATTTTTACCACTCTGAATTTTTCTAAACAAATTATAACATTCTTAATTGGTCTTGTCATATTCTTTACATTCTGATTTTGTCTGCATATGTCTTTAACTGTTTACGCTGAATTATTACTTTAAAAATAATTTTCTGTTTTGGCATCTGCAATTTTTGTACTATCAACTTACAAGGTTTTTTTCAGTTTTTATCAAATTATTATTTTTTTTAAATGGCATAATTGTACAAAATTATTTGTAACTCAACTCAATCTTTATTTTTTCATCGGAAACAACCTTTTCCATCTTCAATTTGAAAAAAAAAATTATATATTGATTGATTGATTGTTGGTTGCTTAACGTCCGGTGGCAAATATTTCATGCATATTCAGGACGAGAACAAATTAACAATAAATACAATAGGTAGGTTCTGTAATAGAGGCGTCCGGGATTAAGGTCGGAGAAATTTAGACTGCCACGGGAAATGAGGGTATATTGAATAGGGACAGAAATTTTAACTTGCAACAGGTCACATACGGACTGTATCTCACTCATGCATAGTTTTGAATCTTTGTACAATGAATATATCTCACTCATGCATAGTTCTGATTCCTTGTACAAGAAATGTATCTCACTCATGCATAGTTCTGATTCCTGGTACAAGGAATGTATCTCCCTCATGCATAGTTCTGATTTCTTGTACAAGGAATGTATCTCCCTCATGCATAGTTCTGATTCCTTGTACAATGAATGTATCTCACTCATGCACAGTACTGATTCTTTGTACAAGGAATAAATCTCACTCATGCATAGTTCTGATTCCTTGTACAAGGAATGTATCTCCCTCATGCATAGTTCTGATTTCTTGTACAAGGAATGTATCTCCCTCATGCATAGTTCTTATTCCTAGTACAAGGAATGTATCTCCCTCATGCATAGTTCTGATTCTTAGCACAAGGAATGTATCTCACTCATGCATAGTTCTGATTTCTTGTACAAGGAATGTATCTCACTCATGCATAGTTCTGATTCCTAGTACAAGGAATGTATCTCACTCATGCATAGTTCTGATTCCTAGTACAAGGAATGTATCTCAATTATGCATAGTTCTGATTCCTAGTACAAGGAATGTATCTCCCTCATACATAGTTTTGATTCCTTGTACAAGAAATGTATCTCCTTCATGCATAGTTCTATTTCCTTGTCCGCGTTTAGCTTTAGGTTTAAGTTTTATAAGCTCTTCAACGTTTGTATTATGTTTTGAATTTTTGGCCTCGAGCATTACAGAGGAGACGTTAATTGTCGAAATGCGCATATGGTGTGGTAAAATTGGTAGTATAATGTGAACGTTTCTAATACGTCACAGTTGACTTATTGTATATTATATAGTGTCCAAGATTGGTAGGAAAAAAGTCGCGAACATAACACGCGTGTAGACTAATTCCCATCATTCCTTAAGGAGATTACTATAGTTTAAGTTTCTGTGTACTTTTATAACAACACAAAACATTAAATTTCTTAACTGTTGTCAAAGGGAGGCGAAAATACCTGAAGGATAATCAAACTCATGCAAAGTCGAAAAGAAGCTGACAATGCCATGGCAAAAAACGACCATAAAGTAAACAACAGTACACCAGACACAACATAAAAAGAAATATGGACGGATTAATACAAACCCAAAAGAAAAACTGAAGTTGATATCATGTGCTCAAGAAGGATAAGATGTAAAAATAAAAATCCGATTTGGGCACCGTTTGTAATAACCGTATTTTTAAATCATTGGACGCTAATCAGCAGATCAATAACTTGAATATATACTCTCATAATCATTGGATACTCCAATCAATAGACCGTAAACGCTTAACATGCATTGTCATCAACAATAACATGAAAAAATATAGAATAAGATATTTTTTGCCCCTTACGACCAATGTACGTAAAATGTACTAGATGTTCCGATAGATTGTTAACAGTGTCTCGGCAACCATACAGACTTTTGTAATCACATGAGAGGATACACGTTATATTGGTAAGATTTTCTTACTTAAAGTGAATTATCAACTTGTTAAATGATTCTAAATGTGTCCTAAATAATGTTTGAATATGATGTTTGCATTAAACGCAAGTAGCGGTCTCTAAAATCTGCACAGTAGTATGGAAACTATATCAACTGTGAAAATTGACGATGAGCACGGAAACGACATACACATATAAATATTTACTTCCAGAGCATCTGCGATCACCCCCGGATTTTGGTTGGGTTTGTGTTGCTCTGTTTTTTAGATGTCTATGTTGTGTTTTGTATACTGTTTATCTTTTGGTTGTTTCTCGTTTTTTGCCATGGCTTTGTCGATAAATATTAGAAGATGTGATATGAGTGCCAAGGATACAACTCTCCATCCAAGTCACAAATTGTAAAAGTAAACTATTATAGGTCAAAGTACGGCCTTCAACACGGAGCCTTAGTTCACACCGGACAGCAAGCTATAAAGGGCCCCAAAAATGACTAGTGTAAAACCATTCATACAGAAAAACCATTGTCTAATCTATATAAAAAACGAGAAACACTTATTAACAACCACTGAACATCAGGTTTCTGACTAAGGACAGGTGCAAACAAATGCAGCGGGTTTAAACGTTTTATTTGGCGCCAACCTTCACCCTACCTGAAACAATAGTGTAACATTACGACATAGAAAGACACACTCTGAAATATCAATTGAAATGGCTTAACTCATATCAAAATACATATTAAAAAAACACTAACCGAATAAATTTAATATATGACACAATGTAAATATAAAGTTGATAATACAAGGGGGTTAGATGTAAACAATATCACAAAGACAACCATAACTTTGTCAGTATGTCATTGACATGTAAGTTTGCAAATCCTTTTTTTTATATTCATACTTTCATTTGAGCATATGAAAGCTTCACACTTTACAAAATGTTTGCGTAAAGTGAGGATGTTGTGCAAATTTAGGAAAATAAACGGTATTTGTATCAAGTTGCGTGCAAAACCCTATTAAACGATGGATCAAAATACATTGATTTTAATGCATTGTTCGTAGTATGATAAGTTATACCATTTAACGTCCAGCAAAAAGTGTTACACATACATGGTAATAGAGAAATACATTTAAAATCAGGTAACATGGAGTTCATTAGGCTACCATTGTTACCATCTTTTTTACATTCTTGCATTCACTGCAAAGTCACCTGATCCAAAATGACAAATGTGTATGAATTTTGTGTTATTATTCTACAAAGTATGAACTTTGTCTCAACAGATCATGCTGATACTTAATATTCTAAATTATTCATAATAAATTTTCAATTTGTCTCAATAGATTCTTACCTTTCAGTTTTTGTGTCAACATATTTTTACCACTCTGAATTTTTCTAAACAAATTATAACATTCTTAATTGGTCTTGTCATATTCTTTACATTCTGATTTTGTCTGCATATGTCTTAAACTGTTTACGCTGAATTATTACTTTAAAAATAATTTTCTGTTTTGGCATCTGCAATTTTTGTACTATCAACTTACAAGGTTTTTTTTCAGTTTTTATCAAATTATTATTTTTTTTAAATGGCATAATTGTACAAAATTATTTGTAACTCAACTCAATCTTTATTTTTTCATCGGAAACAACCTTTTCCATCTTCAATTTGAAAAAAAAAATTATATATTGATTGATTGATTGTTGGTTGCTTAACGTCCGGTGGCAAATATTTCATGCATATTCAGGACGAGAACAAATTAACAATAAATACAATTGGTAGGTTCTGTAATAGAGGCGTCCGGGATTAAGGTCGGAGAAATTAAGACTGCCACGGGAAATGAGGGTATATTGGATAGGGACAGAAATTTAACTTGCAACAGGTCACCTACGGACCCCTCAAAGAGTTGTTGCAAGGGTTCTTAACGTGCAAAGAGCGTTGCACTCTCTTTACACGAGGCATCGGATTTAACGTCCCCATTCTGAACGGACGTGGCTGCAAATTTGTACATCCCGCATAGCCAAACTGACGCCCCACTTTAGCAAGGGTTTTACTGCCGGTCGGAGGAAGACCAATGGTGACCATACTTCTATTCCCCAGTCACCCTTGGGAGTAAAAAAATGTATAACAAAATAATATATTTAAAAAAGAAAAAAAACTTTATCAAAAATTATTTTGAATTATCTGAATTTTAAAATATGTATACGCAAACATCTGATCTGCAAGGTATACCATCTACTTACCACTATACATCATGTACTGTGTTACAACCCTAGATAAAGCCGACGAGGAGTACATTACTCCAATAACGAAAGATATATTTTTATATACATTAAGCCAGAGCCGACAATTCTCTTTCTACCCCCTTTTTCGTCATGTTTACAAAATAGCTGCGTGTTAAGAAAGTGTTAAGAAAAATCCAGAGAGTGTTAAGACTGTTGAGGAATCCAAATGATAATCGGAACCATTGATAATGATGCCGTTTTAAAAACATACCTCATTATTCATCCAAGGCGAATATATCTGGTCTGATTGATGCATTTGCTTATGTTGAGTACAGAAACACTCCTTCTCACTTGTCAATTTCTCATATTCAAATGTGTCTTGAAAATAATAGCCATCACTGCATTTGAAATGGAGTTTAAAAGATATTTTCACCTTATATCTCTCTTTTATATTTTCAATTAGTTGTTTCACTTCTCTGTAGATATCACTGCACGTGATAACGAATCCCTCCTCTTCGGAAAACGATACAAGCTGAAGAGCAATTGTATCAGTCGACATGGTAACTAGTATCTTTGTACCACCAGAGCCATCAATGTCAAACATACAGATGCCACGATATAAAGCAATACCACCCTCTACTTTGCTTGAGTAGTAGTTTCTGATAAACCAGGCAGATATATGGTTAAAGAAAGAAGGTGGGAGAAATTCAAATTTAAAACAAAGCCAAGAAGTCCTTTTACATGTGTGTGTAAGAATGCCAAATTTTTCACACACAACATCAAACGTGGAAGGCGGCATCATGCTTGGCATTATATAATAACTTGAGTTCTCAATTTTGACCAATATGTCAAGCCTTTCCATAACTTTGTGTAAATTGTTTTTCTGTCCTGAAAACTGACTTCCATCTTTTGATTCGAAGAGTTCTGTTATTAACGATTCACTTATTTTGCCTTGTCGTGTAAACAGTGTCCAGTCCTCAAGGTGGTACAATCTCCTGTTATCAACTCTATCTGAGACTAAACATCGGAAAGCATCTGCTAACCACTGAGGTTTTAATATGATCAAATCCGGTATGTTTTCAAAAAAAATAATGTTCCCTACGTTATGCTGAAATCTAAGAAACAACAACAAGTCCTCCTTTTCTAGTAAATTGATATCAGGATGTTTAGCCAGATTGATCATGTCAGTAAAATTGATGAAATTTTTTCCATCGTTCTTATTGATTTCAATCAAATGTTCTAAAAGAATCCATTTTAACGGAAAAGAATTTCCCCAAATATCCATTTTCCGTGCAGTCTCGTATACTGCGTATTGCAATTTTTCAAAAACTTCGTCAATATCTTTCGTATTTGACAGATAAAATGTGTTGTGCAAGTGATGATATTTGCTTTGAAGTCCAAAAATTTTGTCCATTTGATCAGTAAGTTCCTTTTCTCTCTTCTTAAAATCTGCCTACAGAAAAAAAAACCCAAGGAATCAACAATTGTCATGTTTGATACTTTAACAATAATTATTGAGAAGATGTGAATAGATTATGAACTTCCAATATATATCATCGTTATTCCAACGTATCACTACCTCTCGTGACAATTATAAAGACAGTTTGTGGGACTTCTATAGCTTACTATACGATATGGGTTTTTGTCGAACGTTGTTGCAGGTCGTATCATAGCCTCTTTTCTTTTTACATATTTTGTTGTTTATTTTTCTTTATGGATAGTTGTATTATATGCATCCATACTACGTCTCTTTATACAAACCATAAAAGTTGACTGGGGCATACATTTATGGTCATCCCGTGGTCTTCTACTGACCGGCAGTAAACCCTTTGCCAAAGTGGAGCGTTTGTTTGGCTGAGCAGGATGTATCAACTGACGTCCAGTCAGAGCGGGACGAGAAGTTTAATGACTCATGTAGAGAGAGTGCAGAGGTAGGTCTCTGCACATTAAGAACCCTTGCGTCAACTCTTTTAAGGGTCCGAACAGTGGCATGTTGCCTGGTTAAATCTCTGTTTCAATGTTCATAACCCCATTTCGAAGTGGCTTTCCAAATTAATCAACTATAATATCGGTCGACACCCTATTTGAGGACCAACCTATTGGTTTTATTGTTATTTGTTCTCGTTCTGAACCTGCATGTAATATTTGCCACTGGGCGTCAAACAAACAACGAATTAATCCCTTATGAACTAATGATATCTATGATTCTAAATCTTTTTTACAATTTCGATTAAGTCATGTCATCTTTTCGCCTATGGACGTATGTTTTGGGTATTGGAATCCAACATTTAATTTCTATTTAAACCAATAACATGTTAGAAATGGCACATTGCTTAACCTTGATCCTCGTCTTGATATGCATGCCATATTTGCCACTGGACATTGAATTCCAATTTGTCATTCCAAACATGGTATGCATATACCCATCACCTGAACGTTGCAAGTTTCCGATTACTCGACTGGGAAAACAATGCACCCTTAAAAGAACAAAATTGAGATGTTATGCATTCCTCAAGATCGGTATGTTTTTTTAAAATAATATTACCTGTATTATGCTTAACCAAAAAAACCATACATTTTACTTTATCATTAACTCTTATGGGGTCCTTATGTAGCCTTTAGCGGGGCAATGTATGTCCTTGTCCAACACACCATTGTTTTTCAGTCATAAGTCCCTGCGCTCAATCTCTTTCGTCTCATATAGCAGAACATACATACTAGTACTTTATTTCTTGCCTTTTGTGAATATGTAAGAAATAATTGTCACTTGACGTAAAGCAGTCACATTCAATCAATTGATTCAACGGAATTTTGTTTGTTCGTAATTTGTTTTGTTAAGCTTTATTTTGGGTTGAGCGCCCAACAACACGTTCCAGATCGCACATTCTGAATGTGACTGTTCAAAACAAGGATGTTGTCTGTCATTATTGTTTTACGTCATTGTTGTATTATAAAAAATGGTTTTCAATTTCTCTGTTTTAATTATTTCGCATGTTGATATCCCTCATATTTGTATTTAATAGGTTTTGCTAATTTTTTATGGTGGTACTGTGACTATGTTCTTTGATCTTCTATGGATGGATGTCTTTTTGATGACGTTCAAATCAAGAACGGATGATCATAAGTCATGTTTTGTACAAAACTCAAATAAAAGTGAGCCTCAACATTCAACCATTGTATTACCTCCTTCTCATATTTATCCTTTCCAGTGAAAACTAATACAATCGGAGGATCGAAGTGCCCATAACTAAGTCGTTCGTCGGCCGTTCGATGGCAATGGATAGAATCAAACCAAAAATCAACATATTCTGAAATAGATTAACATTGTTGAATAAATAACGTTTCGAGATAAACTAGGATACATTGGATATGTACCCTAATAGGGAAAAAAAATAAAACCATGCACTATTCCTTACATCACTGGCGACTATATATAATACTAAAGGAACGAATTAGGCGATTTTGTATAAGAACATATTTATATAGATATAAGAATATGTGGTATGAGTGCCAATGAGACAACTCTCCATCCAAGTCACAATTTGTCAAAAGTAAAACATTATAGGTCAAAGTATAGCCTTCAACACGGATCCTTGGCTCACACCGAATAGCAAGCTATAACGGGCCCCAAATTGACTAGTGTAAAATAATTCAAAGAGGAAAAACAACGGTCTAATCTATATACATAACGAGAAACATTTATGAACCACATCAACAAACGACAGCTACTGAACAACAGGTTCCTGACTTACGACAGGTGCAAACAAATGCAACGGGTTTAAACGTTATAACAGGTGTCAACCTTCACCCTAACCTGAACCAGTAGTATAACCTTACAACATAGAAAGACAAACTATAAAATATTAATTGAAATTGCTTAACTCGATCAAAAAGAAATGTTAACAAAACAAGTAAACATACACTGAACGAATACATTTGATCTATGACACAATATAAATACAATATGTAAAACAATGTCAAGAAGACACAATTTTTCCCTGCATGTTCATGAAAGATTATGTTTTTGAGTTTCGCCGTAAAAGTCTGGAATCGGAGAAATGTTTTTTGTCAAACATTTTTGTCAGACATTTTTACTGAGAGTGTTTGTTCATAAAAGATTGTTTAGAGTGGGAACATTGTAGAACACAACAACACGAATACGCTAATGAAGTAAAACAAGTGGGTTAGGGTGGGGTTCTCATTGTAGAAAAAATATGTTGTCTTATCTGAAACACCTTCTACACAAGAACACGAATACTCTAATGAGCAGTACACTTTAAGTAAATTTGCCATCGTATCTTACTAAAACAACTTATTAGTGGCATATTGACGAATTAATAATCGTTTACGGAAGCGGATTGCATATCGGGAAATCTATAAAATTTCTAATTAACACTAAAATTCAACTGGTCGTTAGAATCATGAGAACGTTTGATATCTTGATCAATTCGTAAAAAACACAAATTAAGATAACAAAGTATGACGTTTTCGTTTTTTTTTTTCAACAACCAACTATCCCGCCTCAAAAACTGATGTCGTACTTTGTTATTATCTTCTTGGTATTTAACATAATCTATACATGTAGTAGTGCCCTTAGGTTGTAGATAAAGACAAAATTGAATGCAAAATTATCCTTGTTTTAATGAATGTCTCAACCCATGAGCTGCAAACTAAGCCACGCTATGCGATTACATTGGATCAAAAATAAACTTTAAAACTAATCAATATTGACTGGGAAGCAAGTGTACGGTCTGATTCTATATTATGAATTCATTTCTATAAGGTAGGGAAACAGGTAGCTGAAAAGTATTTTTTATCCTGAAACCCTGCATTATTTGAAGTCTCAAAATCTTCGACGCGGTAAAGAATGAAAACTACACGTTTTAAATTTCAAGCATCCAAAGCTTTTTTCTGAATTTACCTTCACCAGGAACGCTAAAAGCCGAATGTTTAAAAGCCAAGGATGTATAACAACCTAGACAGCTGAGAAGCTATATCACCAAAAAAGACCTAAACAAACAGCCGAATCAATCTAAGGTTAACTTTGCCTGAGGGAGTTTTTAAATTTTACCTAATTCGCATCATTTTTGTTTGGTTCGATGCCCACACATCATTTGGTTTATTGCTTATTGAGCATTCGGTTTATTACAGAAAATGAAATCTGTATATTTTGTAACTTTATATTGTATCTTGGTAAGGAGCAAGACATATAAACATTTAATAAGTATAACTCTATAGTCTACATTATTATGTGTTATTGAATTTGATTTTCTGATACGAAAACATACCTCCAATATGCTGAAAATCGGCAAAACACTGACTTAAGCCTTGTTTACTTATGTCGTTCTTCATATCTGCAACAACAAGGTATACTGCACTACTGGTCAAAAATGCTTGATGTGTAGCATAAAATTCTTTTTGTCCTGCAAAGTCCCATAATTCACATAATGCATAAAGGTTCGAAAGTGTATTTACAGTTGCTTTAGAAAACACATTAGCCATCAAATCGTCTGGCATTACCAATGATGAAGACTCCTTCTTTTCTTTATAATTATTCAAATTAACATTTGCATTGGTAGCTGAATCCACAGACATAACCAAAGATGAAGATTCATTCTTATCTTCATTTCTCTCCAGAATAACATTTGCGTCGGTTGTAAAATCCTCAGGTATCACAAATGATGAAGACTGATTCCTATCCAGACTAACCTCTGCGTCGGTTGACGTGTCATTTTTAAAAGTAGACATGTCATCAATTTGACTTCTATTTATATTCTTCGTCTCATCTACCTGCATAATTTTAGTGTCTCTGTCCTCGGCATTTGGAATAAGTGCTCTCTTAATCCGGCTTACTTTATCATCATCCATGTCTGGCAGAAAAAATTAGAAACAATACTACCTTCTTACAACAGGTTTCAATATTATCAATTGGTAGTATTGATCGTTTACTATACCATCTATACGAGTTGTTTGTTTTATTTTATTGGTTCATTAAAATAGTACAATGTGGTTATTGTTACATTGTAATCGAAAAAAGCATTACTTCAAATAAAAATGTTGTGCTATCACACATTTTCCCAAGTACAACTCCTTACTTAAACGTTTGAAATATCCCCAGGGATACAGGGGTGTAGAAATATGGTCACCTTGGCAGTAAAATTTTGCCAGAGATGGACGTCCGTTTTGATGTGCAGGTTGTATATATTCGTAGCTCAATATCTGATATATCGTTCAGAGAGGTTGCAACATTCACTGCATGTTAAATAACCCTCGCTACAGCTCTGTGGTAATACATTGATGTCACTTTTTATCATAGCAATGTTTTACAGTGTCAGTCCATATTTCCAGCCCTTCATTCGAATAGTCAAAAAATGCAGAACCTATCCAATGTTCTTTTTGTTAGTAGTTCTCCTTCCGAATATGCACAAAATGATTGCCACTGGACGTTAAGCAAGCAAAACACTATTAAAGAAAGTTGAAATTTGTATGTTCGTCGATGGGACTGTTATTATTTTATAAATGAAATGTTTTACATTTTCCCCCCAAGGGTGACTGGGGAATAGAAGTATGGTCACCATTGGTCTTCCTCCGACCGGCAGTAAAACCCGTGCTAAAGTGGGGCGTCCGTTTGGCTGTGCGGGATGTACAAATTTGCAGCCACGTCCGGTCAGAATGGGGACGTTAAATCCGATGCCTCGTGTAAAGAGAGTGCCACGCTCTTTGCACGTTAAGAACCTTTGCAACAACTCTTTGAGGGGTCCGTAGGTGACCTGTTGCAAGGCTAAATTTCTGTCCCTATCCAATATACCCTCATTTCCCGTGGCAGTCTAAATTTCTCCGACCTTAATCCCTTAATCTATTACAGAACCTACCTATTGTATTTATTGTGAACTTGTTCTCGTCCTGAATATGCATGAAATATATGCCACTGGACGTTAAGCAACCAACAATCAATCAATCAATTTTACATTTTATTTGTCTGTATTCATATGATTGGACACCACGAGACCATAATATTGGGATAACTATAAAGTGTTTTAAAAAATAATGGTAATGAACAAATTTGAAAAAGTGCAGTACTCAACAGGATTTGATTGGACAATTTTCAGGGGTTCATCAAGTAAGGACTCTGTAGGATTTTTGACGTGATTGCAGTGTACTAAAACTTTACATCTTTTTATAAGATTCATTAAACCAAAATTGAAAGAATTGTTTTGGTGGGGAAAAGATGTGATTAAGTTATGTTAAGATGGGTTATTGCCCTTTTAAACTAACATGTAATTCTCCCTTTTTTTTTAACATAACCAAATTGCACTATGGTCAGATATAAAAACAGAATTGACACGGCAAAATGTACTTCAAATATTGATTTTAAGTCAACTAAGTATCTATCAAAGAAAATATTATACTAATTCTGTTCGAAATGGAAAACTGTGGCCTTTGATGATGACTTGCAACTTTAAATTGACGAAAGATGCGTGGTAACATTGCAAATTCGATTTGCTTGTTTAAAAACATGAAGTAATTAAAATTATAATACATCTTTGAGAGAATATGTACGCCTATTTAAATGTTCAATATTAAAATATTTAATATACATGGTATGTGTAATTTTGCATTTTTTTAACGATCACCAAAAAAAAGTCGGACGGTGCTGATCGAATTAAGAAGTCGAGTAAAAAAAAACTAACTTGTGAACGCGGAATTATGAATAAGGTTTCTTTTTGCGAGTAGGGGTTGGGGTCATGAGTTTAGTCTCAGGCCCGATGGAGATAAAAATTTTAAAAAACTTTACAATTGCAGCCATGCAAAATTTATTTCAGTATACAAACGAATTTGGTACATGAGCTCGGAGTCATCATATCAATCTGTTTAAAATGGTGACAGTTCGTCATGGTCGCTGTAACCTTCTGGGCTAGCATGTTAAACTCTCGACAGATTGTTGTCATGCATATGCCTTTAAATGTTGCCATTGGACATAAAACATCCGTCAATGAATCAACCATTAATGTTAGGGTACAACAGTGCCTCTACGAAACCTACAGAGAGCGATGAGTATGATGAGTGCATGACGTTTTCAATCACAGCACTCGCAGTTTTTGGTGGCAAAATATAATGTATTTTTTCAAAATTGACTAGAAAGTAAAATCTATAAAACCAGGTTCAATCCACCATTTTCTACTAAAGAAAATGCCTGTACCAAGTCAGGAATATGACAGTTGTTATCCATTCGTTTGATGTGTTTGAACTTTTGATTTTGCCATTTGATTGGGGACTTTCCTTTTTGAATTTTCCTCGGAGTTCAGTATTTTTGTGATTTTACTTTTTATTTTAATCGCAGATCATAAGTTAGAACGGCAACTTGATTTTTTTTCAACTTTTATAGACTATTAATTTTCTAAACTTATCTGCCAAGCGCTATATAAAGCGTACCTCTTGATTGACCCATGAGCCATGGCTTTCTTCAGTTTTACAAGTTTTTAAATTAAGCTTACCTTATTTTAAAAAACTTAATTTAAAAACTGTATCAATAAAACATTGTTTTAAGAAAGCTTATTGTTGAGGATCTACTGAAGATCTCGACTTGACAAGCCGACTTCCCGATTAGATGATTTTGGAAACAAAGGAACTTTTTGAAACTAGTCTCGTCCGTCCGGGTATGATTGCTGACCACGAGGATTCTGGTTTCTAGCCTTTAAACAAAAGTTGCGGAAATGTACAAAAACAAGAAATGCGCATCACAAAGACGCAAATTCGTCGTTGTTTATGTTATATTATAGTAAAGTAAGTAACATCATCGTATTAATTCCCAAACAGTGTTTCTTCACTACATGTTATCACAAACGTATCTACGTAGATCAATTTTATGTTAGTTTGCCATGTTTTGATATAAAAAATGCATTTAAAGCTTGTATATCTAGCTGTTAATTTCAGATGCCATAGAACTTAATATTCTTAGTAAGATAAGGTTAGCAACATGCTTTCCTGAAATGTTCGAAATTTCCTTTACTTCGCCGGTTATGATAAAAAAAAAAGACGACTTAATTGTGATAAAAAATAGACGGTGTTATTCGTTTTTTTTAGTGATACACTAAATTTAAAATTGGAAGCTCTGTTTGTACGAAATGTTTCACAAAAGCCTAGATTTTTCAATTAATTTGAAATAGATGCACGTTTGTGCTGCTTAACACCATTATTTAGATTTTATACAGGTCGTAAACGATTTAGGGCATATAACACTTTATTATCTTATATTTTTATGTGTTTGTAAAAATACGTTCACAAGACAAAGGTAACACAGAATCACCAAAATTGAACATCATCCACTGTTTTGTACTCAAATTGTATAAAATTATAGATTTACTGCTATTGGTTTTCAGTATAAGGAAGAAAGGATTTGGGAAACTTGCAATGTGGCAGATACAACGTTGGTAACGTGAGAATCCTATATCAAGGGAATATTTTTTTTGACTGTAAGTTTGCCAATTTTATTATGGTTACTCTTTAAAAGACGAACTGAAAGCATTAAAATATGATGGCACATTTACATTAATTATTAACTGTAGTCGATATGAGATGGTTAAATAACATCTAGATATTTAAAGTCTCATGAAATGAGTTTCTTGAGATTAAAATGTTAAACAAAAATATTGAACCAATGCATGTTTATATACTAAACTGAGTCTTGTACATTTATTACGAATTCATAACATATAATCGACAAAAATATTTTATGCAGTGAAAATTTTAGTATTTTATTGCAGAAGTTTACCAAACGTGGCCTTAATAGACACAAAATCATGGGGAACGTGAACAATAAGTGAGATGAAAGACATGCAAACAGTAAAATAACAAAAATACCGAACTCCAAGGAAAATTCAAACGGAAAGTACCTTATCAAAAGCTCAAAAACATCAAAAGGAATTTTTATTATGCGTTTCTATTTGTTAATTTAACTTTTTCAGTTTAATTTTTTTTTTTGAGAATCAATCAACACTCTCACTTCTACATATATTTACCTTTTCTTCAATCGCGATTTGTTTCCTCGCACTTTCGCTATTATGTTGCTAAAGTACTAACGATATGTCTATATGCACCAATGAATTTGAAAGTTTGTTAAGTTGCCGCAAATTATTCGCGATGAATCATTAAATAGTTATAAGAAGATTACAATTTGTAAAAGTAAACCATTATAGGTCAAAGTACGGCCTTCAACACAAAGCCTTGGCTCACACCGAACAGCAAGATGTAAAGGGCCCCAACAATGACTAGTAGGCTATACAGAAGAGAAAAATTGTCACGTGAAATAGACTATTGTGTGTTTTCGGAATCTTTGTATTTCGTTGTATGTAATTATGCTGGATTCGATCGATAACTTTTCTGTAAATTCATAATAATTTTGTATAACCACTGTATTTATTTACCTTTGCCGATTATCCATGTTCCATCATCTATGTTGATTTTGCATCTACGAACAACAATATCAACACCGTCTGTACTGGTAACATCAGATATGCCTTCCTTCAATAATCTTCTCAAGAGGCACGTTTTTCCAACCGATTCCTTACCAACTATCATAGTTCTTACAAAATACCTTTTTTCACTTTTCGAACTCTGCATAAGCGTATTGTATCTGATTTTATCTCCCTCTGATAATTGGTTTATAGCTTCTGGCAAAACTGAAATAATATTTTATTTGTGACATGTTGTTTGAAATAAATATAGAAAATAGATATGTAACAGAACAATCAAAAAGTTGCACAGTGGCAACATAACAATATAATGAACAAATTCACATACAGGCAGACTAATCTGAAAATAACATCATTTTGTTCCTTAATTTAACATTGCAGAACATATGAGACGATCTATCATTCTTTTTTGGGTTCTTCTTCTATCATCAGCCCTTACATAATTTTCAACAATAATTGTTTGGGTTCGGTTGAATTGGAATATATCCGTTGTATGAAATGAAAAGTGTAAAAATTACGCTAAAATCGAATGAGTATGAAATACCTTTTTCAAAGCTCACATAGAATACTCTTTATACCATACGACTAGCACTTTTAAAAATAACTATTCGGAAAACGACATTTAGAAGATCTGTTAAATATTGTCTCTCTTTATTACTTTTATTAAGTGTATTGAAGCTAATATAGTACATCCCTGCTAATTTGATTGCAATGAAATATTTGGCACAAACCTTTACACTGACGAAAAGTGTGTTGAAAAACAAATGTAATTGTTGTTCTGACTTCGTCTGTTGTAAAGCCAGAAAAATAGAGAGTATTGCCAGCTAATTAGCTATTTGGTACTGCCATGAACAAAAAAAGGTTACATTTTTAAATTTGCTGTTCATTCATGCATAGCTCTATCATTCCATGTTCAGGTTAAGCTATATTGGTAATCCTTAAGGTTAAATTAGTTGTTCAACGTGGGTCTCATTGGGGTCTAAGCGTAACGCCTATTTTTTTTTGTTAGCGTGACACGTGAACGTCAAATTATTTTGCGTAAAGTGGGGCGGTTCACGTGAAATTACAAGCGCTAATGTTAAATTGATAAGCGGGGTACCGGATTCTGGCAAAACAATAAGCGGGATCTTGTTTTAATTGCTTAATAACAGATTAAATAACTATTTAGACAAATTATGTCTTATATCATGCAGATGATTTTTAAAAGAAAGCTCGGGCTGCTGATCACATGTTTATTGTTCGGACATTAATAGAAGAGCATACGTTAAATGGTAAATCTTATTTATATACATGTCCTTTTTTACCTATCTATAAAATACGTTATGTATACTTGAATATGAAGGTATAGACTTTATAACACATGGTAATGGCGATGAATATGTACCAGTATATAAAAAGATGAAGATTGATAAACATGAAATAATATATGTTTTTGATGAATGTTGATGCATAGGCCAAGATAACAGGTACCCGACTTTTGATTTACCGCGCTTGGTACCATGTAGTACATGGTGCATTCAGGTTAAACTGGTGAAGGTATAAACTTTATAAACCTTGATGATGGTGATGAATATGTACCAATAAATACAAATAATATAACTGATAAAATTAAAATATCTAGAAAAAACCAGGATCAAAAGATATGTACTAGAGGTGGAGATCTGTGTATTGCTTATGGACCACTTTTAAATGGGAAAACGTGTGTTGATCCCTGTAAGTTAACATCTTTTCAGTATAATGGCAATAGTGCTATAGATTATTGTCTAATTTAGGAATACTGTCTTCAGAACTATTATATTTTTCCGAACCAGTTCCTATTCTTAGATTGTCTGATCTCTCAAAAATATCAGACAGATTATATAATACTTAGAACACTTGTAATTCCAATATTGGTGTAAACTTATTTCGAATGGAATGTACAGCAGTCGACCAACAACGACAATTTACGCTAAATTCTGATTTAAAAATATGTAAAAATTTCAAAAATCTAAATCTTTCTTGTGAACATGAAGAATATGCAGACTATGGCTTTAAAAAATACAACTGCTAATGTCTATGTGTAATCGTATGTTACATGCCCATCATGGGCCGATAATTGCTTTAATAGCGTATTTCTTTTTTGTATTCAACGTTTTCTTTCCAATTGCCAATTTTCATTATATTTTCATTATAATCTAAAAGATGGAAAGACAACAATTTTTTACTCTTACAGCAAGTAATAATAAAAAATATTTCCAAAATTGCCGCCAATTTCATTTTCCGCAAAAGTACCACAACTCCAGAATGGCAGGCTTTAATAATTAGTCCAGATTTTGTCATTGCAAAGGAACAACAACAGTCGTCTCTAATGTCTTGATGTTCGACTGTAAAGAGTCAACTGATTCTTACATTCATATGAATTAATCTATCTAGAACTTATATTGGTGATAATATTTGCTATCTACAGTTGCTTCCAATTTACTATATAATTGTACTGGGATTGTCGTACACTGGAGGAAAAACTTCCCCCAGCAGTGGTATCGATTCAGTGGTCTCAAAACCTCATCATAGATACCAGGCTTTTAATTTGGTACGTCGGACGCGTCTTCGAAAATTCCATCTACCGAAGACTTGTCAGTGGTGCCCGATCAAAACAGTTGAAAGGACAATTCAAATATTAGGATGAAGAGCATTAAAAACAAAATATTTATGAAAGTTGTCAAAACCTGATTTTTTTGTTTATTAGTTGTTAAACATTGAAATAACCTCTAAGACAAAACATCAACGAGCAGAGATATCAATTCAGTGGTTGTAAAATCAAACATAGATACCAGTCTTAAAACGATTATTCAGGTAGAAAAGTAAATTCAAATGTTTCATTACCTCGTTTCAGTGTCTGCTTTGCCTTTGACTCCGTATAATGGCTTTTTACATGGTAACCAATAGAACACAGTTTTATTTCATAACCTGTTTCAGGCAAAATTTTTAGAAGTGTATACATGCGTCGTCCATCTTTCTCTGCCAACACATCTTTAGTAGAAAATGTCGTGACAGTCCATTTATCTGTTTCTTGAACTCGATAATCAAGCTCATACTCCATACAGTCGTCTTGGTCATTTATATACCATGCAATGGTTATTGAACATTCAGAACATTCAACTATTTCAAATCTTCTAGGAGCTGTAAATTAATAAATAAATATGTCATCGAAACAACTGGAAATGTTGTACAGTCGAACCTGGATAAAGTGGACCCTGAATTAACCGGGTCCCTGTCCAATCCGGCCGAAAATCAAAGTCCCTTTGTTCCTCTTTCAAAGGATTTGTAAAAATATCCTTTGTAAACCGGAGCCTGTGTTTTCCGAATTCCGGTCTAATTATGCAGTCCCAATATTCTTAATTACATTAATTATTACCTGTCAAAACCGGTGTGTTTGATTAATTTAACATGATAACAGTATTTATTTATATGCGATCAAAACAAAAAAGTTGTTATCCATTCTCAAGGTGTTAAACCGTGAACTTAAGAAGTGAGCTGTTTTATTGGAACCGTGTTAAGTTTTCATTAAAATAAACTAAAAGAAACAATTTTAATAGAGATCGTCGCCGATTGCATTTTGAATAGAAACTTACGTTGTATCATTGATACAATTTTTAAATAGCGAAGTGAGAAATTTACATTGTGTTTTGGAAATGCTGGGATCCTTGTTGTCAACTCCTAAACCGGTGACCCTAATAACTGGAAAAAACCCGGATGACACCATTTCATTGTTGTGTTTATGGGTATGGTACATTGTATGACAATGTTTCGATCATTATGAAATTTCGTTTGATAAAATTTTTGCTTTTTAATCGGCCTTACCAACGTAGTTAATGATTGACGGAAGTGAAAGTCTCGTTGAACATTACAAAGTACGCGAGGTTTCTGGTACACATGACAGTGAAACCGACAAGTCAGAGACTGATGCTGCCGAGGCCGATTTGACATACGAGGATACGTAAAAAAAACGTTATAATATTTTTTGTTTTTTTTTTAATTCATGGGACAACCGATTTCTGAAATTCCTAAAAACAATAAAAACGATGACTAAAGACACGATCGTGCGTAGTAAAATGCCAAAAAGGCAGGAAACATTTGTACCGTTCATGTCTTAATATTTTCACACAAATCAAGACACAACTTTTGATAAATAGATTATAACGTCAAACATGTTCTCGGATTAATTTGCACTTCTCGTGAGTGCAAATTGGAACCACATTTTTTTTAAGGTAGAATTATCAAACTTGGCAATAATATACCTATGCCTATAGGTAAAACAATTAAAAAAAAAATTTTGATATGGCTCGCCCCGTTCGGCATTACGAGTGAAATCAGTGTCAATATCCTATAGGATATTTTTTTTTCCCATAGGATTTTTAAAAATCCTACAGGATTTTTAGAAATCCTATAGGAAAAAGTCATAATCCCATAGGATATTTTTAATATCCTACAGGATTTTAAAATCCTATGGGATTTATAATCCCTTAGGAATATAAAAATATCCTGTAGGAGAAATTTTCTCCCTTAGGAGTAAAAGAATCCCTTAGGAAAAAAAAAAGCATATCCTACAGGATATTTTTTTTCCTATAGGATATTTTGACTTGTAAAACAATCCTGTAGGATAAAAAATTTCCTATAGGATTAACAAAAATCCTAAGGGATTTCATAATAGAAAAAATATTCTGTGGGAGAAAAAAAAGTCCTAAGGGAAAAAAAATCCTATGGGAGAAATAAAAATTATAAGGGAGAATAAAAATCCTAAGGGAAAATAAAATTTCCTGAGGGAGAAAAAAAAGTCCTAAGGGAAAAAAAATTCCTATGGGAGAAAAAAAATTCCTGAGGGAGAAAAAAAATTCCTAAGGGAGGATAAAAATCCTATGGGAGATTAAAAAAAAACAAAGGAAGAAGATCCTATGGGAGAAAAAATTTGAAAGGGTTCTGCGGAACCCAGTGTCTCTCCTACTTTTGCTGTTGTCTATGGGGAAAAAATTATTAAAAATTTTCCTCTAGATACTATCTTTTGATTGTTAGAAGCTTCTGTCCAAGTTTGGTAAAAATCCAGGATGGTTTATGAATCTTATAAATGTTTTAAAAACTTTTAACTGCAGACTGTATGTTATGTTAACAGGAAGAATAAAGAAGTCCATTTAAAGGTAATATACGGATAAACAGGAAATAAATTTTTACAAAATTTCCTTGTAGATACTAGCTTTTGAACATAAACAAGCTTCTGTCCAAGTTTGGTACAAATCCAGGATAGTTTAAGAAAGTCATTAAAATTTTTTTAAAACTTTAACCACAGAGTGAATGTAATGTTCACTGGCAGAAAAACTAATTCCATTTATAAGTAAAATACGGTTAACTCATCCCTAAGAAGCAGCAAACCAAATATTAAGTCATTTTGTTATGCATGTTCTGAGAAATATCTGTTGGACTACTTGGTCAGGCAGACACGCAAATAAGCACAAAGATTGGATAGCGCTCACTCCTAGAGTGCAGGTATTATAACTTTAAGAACCAACGAGGTAGCTGTATGGTGACGCACAAATACACATAAGAAAGTTAAGTTTAAACTTTTTAATAAATAAATAAATAAATAAATTACTCTCTTTAAAAACAGATCAAAACATTTGTTTGTCACTATGAATAATAAAACATCATTCTAACATAAGTTCTTATACACTGTCTTTTGTCACAGTTCTTTAAATCACATTAAGAACCATCGAGATAGCTGAATGGTAAAGCACAAATACATAACAGAAAAGTTTAAGTTTAAACTTTGCAATAAATAAATAAATAAATTGTTCTCTTTCAAAACAGAGCAAAATATTTGTTTGTCACTATGAATAATAAAAACACCATTCTAACATAAGTTCTTATACACTGTCTTTTGTCATAGTTCTTTAAATCACATTTTCTTCAACAATGCAGTATCTTTAATCACTTCTCTAAACCCATCTAACACATATTTGATGCGATAGCCTGTAAAATAAGAAAAGAGCATATTTAAATTTAAACAGATAACAACTAAATATTGTTTTAGAAGTATTCATGTTTGAATTTAAAAGGACATATCTATATGAAAATCAAGTTTTCAAGGTGTGCAGATTATGAATTGAAAACTGATGCAGCTTTTGATACAGAATATTATATGAGAGGAGTAATGATTTCATCCATTTGTATTCTTCTTGGCAAATGGGGTATGTAAAAAGCATGGAATCCTCTGTCCTGTCCAGAACTGCTTAAGGTTTCTCTTTTTGAGGTTATTTGTTTATACAATGTCTATTATGAAAATGTTTTAGCACTTTTTTTTAAATCTAATGTATAATTAGAGAACTTCTGTGATACATATGCTACAAAGGCTCTTCTTCAGTTACACAAAAAAATTAAATATTTGAAAATTCATTACAATTTACATAATTGTTTTTCATAGTATGAACCAGTTCATGCATGAATTTTATTTTATGTGGAAATGCACGAATAGTTCAAGCAGTTACTATAATTTTTTGAGTAAACATCAGTTCTATTCAATATGCATGAAGTATTTGCAAATGGACATTAACATTAATAACTAGAGGCTCTCAAGAGCCTGTGTCGCTCACCTGTATTTACTGATGCTTTGGAAATCATGTACAATAAGGTTAAAATCATAATTAATAGTATTAGATATTAGATATTATAATGATATCTAAGATAATAACAAAAAACTGCAAAATTTTTGTAAAATTACTAACTCAGGGGCAGCAACCCAACAACGGGTCGTCGGATTTGTCTGAAAATTTCAGGGCAGATAAATCTAAATCTGATGAACATTTTTGCCACCTGTCAGATTTGGTCTAAATGCTTTAGTTTCAGAGATATAAACCAAAAACTGCCTTTTACCCCTATGTTCTATTTTTAACTAAGTTGGCCATGATGGTTGGAAGGCGGGGTCATCGGACAAATTTTTTAAATTAGATACCCTAATAATGATTATGGCCAAGTATGGTTAAATTTGTATCAGTAGTTTCAGAGAAGAAGATTTTTGTAAAAGATTACAAAAATTTACGAAAAATTGTTAAAAATTGACTATTAAGGGCAATAACTCCTAAAGGGGTCGACTGACAATTTTGGTCATGACAACTTATTTGTAGATCTTACTTTGCTGAACATTATTGCTGTTTACAGTTTATCTCTATCTATAATAATATTCAAGATAATAACCAAAATCTGCAAAATTTCCTTAAAATTACCAATTCAGGGGCAGCAACCCAACAACAGGTTGTCAGATTTGTCTGAAAATTTCAGGGCAGATAGATCTTGACCTGATAATCAGTTTTACCCTATGTCAGATTTACTCTAAATGCTTTGGTTTCAGAGATATAAGCCAAAATCTACATTTTACCCCTATGTTCTATTTTTAGCCATGGCGGCCATCTTGGTTGGTTGGCGGGGTCATCGGACACATTTTTTAAACTAGATACCCTAATGATGATTGTGGCCAAGTTTGGTTAAATTTGGCCCAGTGGTTTCAGAGGAGAAGATTTTTGTAAAAAGCTAACGACGACGGACGAGAAAAAAAAATTGAATCATAATTTCCTGTCAATATCCACATCTACATAGTATGTCCTTATTATCTAAAAAGGTTTCCTGAAATTCTGTTGTGTGGTATCAGAGTAGTTGCGATGACAAACTGTTGCAGTAGTACATTGAAGCAAATAAGTTCAAAGGGGCGTAACTCCTAGAAAAATAATTGAACCGTAATTTCCTGTTGATATGCACATCTACATAGTATGTCCTTGTTATCTAAAAAAGTTTCATGAAATTCTGTTGAGTGGTATCAGAGGAGTTGCGATGACAAACTCTTGCAGTAGTACATTAAAGTAAATAAGTTCAAAGGGGCGCAACTCCTAGAAAAAAAATTGAATCACAATTTCCTGTCGATATGCACAACTACATAGTATGTCCTTATTATCTAAAAAGGTTTCGTGTAATTCCGTTGTGTGGTTTGACAGGACTTGAGATGACAAGAAACAGGACAGACGGGTCAAAAACATAAACCCGTTGCGTGGGGTATAATAAACAAAAATTTGTGTCTTTATATATATTTGTCAAAAACAACAATGAAATTTAAATAAATCAATTGTATTAGAGAACAATTT